AACTTGAAAAGGTTTTAGAAACCCGTCATAGGCTGACTGGCATGGAAGTGCTTGCGTAGTGGAGGGGTCTGCCCCAATCTGAAGCCTTTTGGGAATCAGCTGAATCAATCTTGCAACACTTCCCCGACTTCCACTTTAAGGACAAGGTGTCTTTGAAAGGCGGGGGTAATGTTAAGCCACCAATTCACTACACTTATTCTAGAAGGGCAAAGAAGCAGGTCTCGCAAATGGAGGCGGGAAACGGGTAAACTAATTTCTGTTGGGGGGATATGGAGCAACAACTTTCTGTTAGTTAAAGCATATAAATAAGAATAGTGAGGCAGGAGCTCGGGAGGCAGAAACTGAGTTGTCTGTGGGTCTAATTCTTGTTTACAGCCTTCTATAGGCTTACTGGTCTTTAATTTCTTGTAATTCCCGAATTATTCAATAGAAACACTTCTCAATATGGCAATTAATCGTGTTGTTCTGGTCGGTTTCTTATCAGTTACTTAGCTAATTATATACTTAAATAATATTGCTTAGTGTTGATTATAACTTGATAGATATTACTTGGCTAATTTGATACTTTTCCCCTTACACTTTTCCAATCCTTGTTCAAGTCTTTGTTCATGAAAGTTCCAACTAGGATACAATCTGGGAAAGTTTATTGTTTATCGTTGAAATTATCATAGTCACGTTGCACATTTGTGAATTATAAAATTGTCCGTTGATGAGGTTCTTAATACATACTCTTTTAAATTTGTCATTCTAACTTCAAAAAGATTTCTATTTATGGGAGATTGCGTTCTGTCAGAATTACATGAATAACTTTTTATCAAATGGTTTTTCTGGAATGGACAAGTTTACTTGCATATGTTTCTGAAATAATCTCCAAACATTCAAGAATCAAGAAACTTCTCTCTGAGACAAAACCTCAAGTTCAGTTCCGTAAGTATGGCAACGATTCAACCATATAGGAATCAATTTTTTATAAACTATTTTGTTCATCTGATTGTAAAATTGTCCATCGAAATCCTTTCAAGGATATTCTAAGATTTAGTGTTTTTTGCAATAAACTCCTGCTATTGATATCTGGAGTATAGGATGTATATTTGCAGTAATTCTCACGGGCAAACCATTGTTTCCTGGGAAGAATGTTGTCCACCAACTGGATCTCATAACTGAACTTCTTGGTTCACCTTCTTCTGAATGCCTTTCCAGGGTAAGTTCCATCTTTAATTAGTTAGTTAACTTATCTTTGAGAAGATTCTGGTCACATTATTAGTTTTCAAAAATTTGTATCTCATGATAATTAGCAACAGATTATTTCAGAACGTATGAAATAAACGAAGCTTATCATTTGACAATTTGACCTTTTTTCTACTTACAGATTCGAAATGAGAAGGCACGAAGATATTTAAGTAGCGTGAAAAGGAAAGCACCTGTTCCTCTCTCACAAAAGTTTCCAAATGTTGATCCACTGGCTCTTCGTTTACTTGAACGTTTGATAGCATTTGATCCCAAAGATCGTCCATCTGCTGAAGAGGTGAGATTTAGTAAATCAAATATGTTGTTTCACATTTCCTTCAGTTGATAAATGCAATATCAGTATTTAGGATGGGTTCATTGATACTATCAATTATTTCTAACTGCAGGCATTGGCAGATCCATATTTTTATGGTTTGGCAAATGTCAAAGATGAATCATCAACTCAACCAATTTCAAAATTTGAGTTTGAATTTGAAAGGAGAAATTTAACAAAAGATGATGTAAAAGAGCTAATCTACAGGGAGGTATGAACATTGCTAGTGATCTTTAGGCCAATATGGTATATCTGTGTTAGCTGTTAGCTATTACTTACATTGTATCTTAACGAAGCAAACAGATCTTGGAGTATCATCCCCAGATGCTCCAGGAATACCTCCGTGGCGTGGACCAGACTCACTTTATGTATCCAAGGTTTGACAATCAAAAGAATTCTCCTCAACTTCTAGTTTGATACAAGACATTTTTGAGACGTTGCTTAATCAAATACAACATAAATTTTCTGTTCTCATTTTTCTAATGTATCCATTTATAACTAATCAATATATCTTTTTCACCAAATCTCCAATACTTTTTCGATCCAAGCTCCTAATCACTCTGATCTTTCTTATGTATACTTCCACTGATCTATCTCTAAATGATTTTCTAATGATTGAGATTGGCTTCTTTCCTTGGACTATGGGTATTTGACTCTTGGTGGGTTGGATTGGTAGCTGGGAGCATCACTTCTCAAGGCAGAATCTGCAATTTAGTGCTTGTTTGGATTGCATTATTAAGTTAATGAAATGATAATGTGATAGGAGTGAGTATTTGATAAGTGGGTATAGTTGTGGATCCTACAAAATGTGTGGTAAAAATTAAAGTTTGACCCTTAAATTTAATGTAATTATTATCAGTCGAAACAAGCACTTGATTATGGGAGAAAAAGAGAGGAATCATTGGGTCCAAACATGTTCACTGTTCAGCGTTAATATATTTACATGATATTTGGACCGAAGTGTTTCTTAGAGTACTAGAGACTACTATATGAAAGCTGCACATTGCCCCACTTCAAATGATGATACTATGGCATCCATGTGAATCAACAAAAGCATTTTCACTGGTTTAATTTTTTTTAAAGCTGGTAGTTCTTGCCAACAATCCATGAAGGATGGTAGTTGACATGTCATTTTACTTTTAAAGAAACTAACTGAGATATCTAATATTCTGTGGTGTTATTATTTTAAGGATGAAATGCACATTCTATATCACAGTTTTTGTGCTTCAGTTTACACTTGGTCTTTTGTATTAAATTCGGCAGTAAGAGACTGCAGATAATTATGGCTTGCTGAAGAATATTGACTTATATTATTTCAGTGGAGTTGATCAATTTAAGCAACAATTTGTCCAACTTGAGGAGCATTCTGGTAAAGTAGAAAGAGCTCCAATTCAAAGGCGTTATGCCTCCTTGCCCAGGTAAGGCATTTTAAATATTTCTGGCTAACATTTGGTTCAAGTTTCTCATGGCAACAATAAGCTAATAGCTTCATAATTTTACACTCAGGGAACGAGTCTATACACCCATCGATGAGGACACCGAGCAGAATAACAACTCTAAAAGTCAAACTGTGGTTACTATTCTACGCCCATGTCTTCTTAGCCCCTCAAAATTACCAGAGATGAAAGGATTAGAAGTTTCCAATACAAGCGTAAAGGCTACTCAAAATGGACGTAGGAAATCATGCTGCAGTGCTCGTTGCTTATTAAGGAGTTCTAGCATTAGTTCTGCCTCGTGTGTTGGTGTAGACAGCAGGGATTATGAGGTAAGTGTGTCTATCGTTAGTTAACAAGTATATGTGTCAGTAGAAGCCATATAATGTGATTGAACCAAGTAAAATCTTGTTCTTTTTTGGCTAAGAAGAGAATTTTGGATTTGATAACAGAGAGCCTGATTAATATTCCCCTTGTGCGTTGTTGCTTCCTCTGCGGTGAGTAGGTGTAGTAGTAAGGAAGACGAGCTGTATTTTTCCATATTTAATGTCTTTAATTTCTAAAATTCAATAATTTGCAAACAGGGAATATAATGTGTTGAGGAGAAGAATTCTACTTGCTTTGCCCACTTATCTGCATTTCTCGGCTTCCTGGAAGGATGATAATGGGGTCAATGCAAGGTTAAATCTATCTGCTTTTATATGTTAAATTATTAATTTATGGGAAGATAAATTGGTGACTCTGTTTTCCCTGTGAAAAATGCTGTGTGTTGATTTTGATAATGTGAACCGTACAGAGTTGTTATCTGATTAATTTGAGGTCTATCATGCTTATTTCCTTCTTGCAGTATTTATTATGGAAAAAAGCCGGAGATCCCGGGATAAAATCCCAGGATTCAGTCCAGGGGCACCTCGGCCCCCGATGTAAAAGGGACGGGCCCCGCATGTGTGAAGATCCAGGGTCGAGGTGGCTGGAATGGAACCCAAGATTTTATCCCGGGTTCTGAAACAACTCTTTTTATTATGTTATTGCCAGTAAAAGTTAACTGACAAGTATAAATTGGAAACTTCGTGTATAGTTTTTGTGAAGATTCGGATGAAAGCAAGGTTTATTAATTTGTTTGTTTTTCAATGATGATCCAAAACCAAGTCATTCTCTTCCCCAGCTATTCCTTTGTGCCACAATATTATGCAAAGAAGTTGGTCCTAGACAATTGAAGAAATTATTTATCTTCAAAGTTACTTATTTCCTCATAAGTAAAATTTTTAAGCTAGTCAACAAGTCAGGGTTCGAGATGACTTGGACCAAAGAAAAAGGTTTCTTTGTCAAAAATAATTTAGTAAATATGCATCATAATGGACCAATTTTCCCCAAGTCAAGCATACTCACTAAGAAATCTCTGCTTATACAAGGCAAAACATGTTTTGACATAGCCCCTTAAGCTAGAAAAAGTCGATTAATCACATTCGTAGGACGATAAGAAAATAGGCACGAAGATTAACTTGGTAATCTCTCCTCAGGTTTAAGAAGGGGCAGCTTGACGAAGGCAGAAGCTCGTTGGAGGATAAGAAAATAGGCACGAAGATGAACTTGGTAAGCTCTCCTCAGGTTTAAGAAGGGGCATCTTGACGAAGGCAGAAGTTCAGGGGCTGCCCTTAATTAGATTGATTTAATTTGATGCTATTTTTTTATTTATTTTTTTAATACTATGAATATAGTAATGGGATTCTAACATTTTTTCAATATAGTTTACGAACTTCAAACATCATGGAGCATGATTAAAATAATAGAAAATGGCAATGGTTTGTATCTAAAAATGAATAATTCAATTATGGCACTTTCATTATTCCTCGAAAATTGATCGATTCAAGGCTCTCAGAGCTTTGCCATGTAGTGTCAGCTTTCGTGTTTGTGTCGACTCCTTCAGCTAGCCACTCCCATCAAGTTGTCCATGGGAAGCAAGGTGTGCCATGTATTGCTGCAACATTGACATAATAATAATTCAGAAACATGGCATGCACTCTATTCAGAAGATAGATGTTACAATTCTCAGAACAGAACACGCAATTTGTCTTTGAACGAAAGAAAATTTCAAAATCGAATTACAAAGTCGATCCATCTCGACTCTAAGAACAATTCTTTCACGAGTTGGTTAGAGGCTATCAACCAGGAAATCAGCAGCTTAAGAATAACCTAAAGTGTTTATCAACTCTCTGAAGTAGAACAGGTATTGTCAATGTTCACCTAGTCTAATAAACAAATTGGCTTAAAAGACCCCTACGTCAAGAACGGATATCAAAACTAAATCAGGAATTTCAAGGTCTCAACCAAATTTTTTAGGCGCGTCCCAGAAGTGGTTACTCACGAAAAAAAAAGAAAAAAAAAGTGCAAAAACAGATAAGAGCTAGCAATTATCGTGCTTGAACTAGGAATTTAATGCCGAGGTTCCCTTAGGCTCTGATCCTCAATTTGGTTGAACAGACATTATATCAAGCAGATATATTGTTTTCATAGTATCATATTCACCTATTGCATGATTGTGTACTTGAAAATCACATGTAAAAAGCCGGGTAAGTATTAACTAGCAGGCAAAACTTTCAGTTCAAAGAATCAGTTCAATGTAAATCTTAGTAACACGAAGGAAGAAATACCAAGTGAAGAATGATTAGAAACAAGAGGATAATACATTACTCGTAACCAAAATGGTTAGACTCAATCCAGTAGAAGGCCACAAACAAACAAGATAAAAATGTGATGCAGTTTTGGATCCTAGTGACGTAGATTGACAAGGAAAGCAGAAGCCGTTACTAATTATGCCCAACTACGTTATAGAAATGGACACCAACTTTTGCTTCAAATTCTATTCAGGACTGCGGTAAACTTGTTGATACAATCATCTCAACCATAGAAGCATAAAAGCTATAAAGCAAACTGTTTCCCGGATATATTGAGGTTTTTCCATTCTACAATTTTAGGATTTCAGGAGGTGAACAACACAACATTTTACAGCCGCCTGACCCCACTGAGATTAGATTGATTCTCACTTCCTATGTTAATATTTCAGGTCAGCACCAGTCACTGCATGAAAATATTTTATGGACACTTGATTTACACAAAATTTGGGCACGAAATATAAGGACTGCATGGTCAAACACAATTGGTGTATTTTATGTTTTAACATATATGTGGTATGTGGTAATATGCTCTTCAACTTTTCATAGTGGAATTGTATGATTGACCCAGGAGATACGGACTGCAAATGGCACTTTCTGCAGAAAGAGAGAACAATTAGAGCAAACAAAATTGTGCATTCGCATGGGTTAATGACAATGAATATTCAAAACTTAAACACAACAAATGAAGAAATGTCAAAACTTTGGAATTCTCCTCTAATAATTATCATGTATAGTTTAACTTTGCAGGAAACATTATTGAAGAGTTGAAAAAAAATGTTCTTTCATCTTTCCACTTCGACCCTAATTTGTATCTGAGTGATATCTGGTGTTTAAAATACTGCAGAAAACTTTCGAATTTCCTCAAGTAATTAATTTTCACTCCATATTAAAATGAATGTTCTAGTGTATATTGCCATGAATTTTTCAATTGAAGGGTAGAAAAGATGTTCTTTCGACTTTCTACTTTGACCTAATTTATGACATAAAGAGATATCTGGACCCTCATATCTCCTGCTTGAAGCAAGGAAATGAAGGACATGTGGAGCTATGTATGTTGACAATGTCATCTTATAACACATTCTTGAAAATAAAATGAGGGGAAATTGACATTGGTTTCAAACAAATGGAAAAGGAAGCAATCAATAGAGGTGGAGATACTTGTCGAACAAATACTCTCAAAGAGTTGCCCAATGCCCTCTAATTTAAGGGGATGTAAATATATTCCATTAACTGGGTGATCATTTTCAAATTGATCTAACCAAATACCCTTACTAAAACTGTATTATCATTTCTAATTCAAACATGCAGGGAGATGAAGTCCCTCATGTCACTTTGTATCATGCACTAGGGAGCAAAAATGGAGAGAGAAACATAAATGACTCCAACTATTTCTCTACAACTCAAGTCCTGTAAAACTAGTAAAATTAGTTGGAGATGGCATCAATATTTATCATTGCACTATTAAAATTAACTCCCGTGTCTTATTCATCACCAGATAGAATTAACTAGTAAGAAATTAGTAACAATACCATGGAATGTATTCACCATTACAGATTTTGTTAGTATTACCAAATTGAAATCAAAATTAAATAACATGGTAGCAACAAAACTCAAGCGAAGTAATGAAGGTTTAGAATTATCATACAAGACATAATTGCAACATCAAAACTAGAACAACCAAGTTTGGCCTCATCCACTCACAGTAAAGAAAAATTACTAAACAAAAATCAAATAAGAACACAAATGGTAAACAAATATAAGAAGCAAAAAGGAATACGGATTCGAAGTCAATTCTTAAAAGGTCCACCATTGTGAATCCCTCCAATTAATGATTTTATTATCATTATCCCCATACATAAAAAGAAGGTTCAGTACAAAAAAATGTATAAACGATACTACAAACCTGGTCAGGTATCTTGTACCCAAGCATTATTTACCAAATTTAATTGGACGCCCCATAGTGATTTGACATTAACACTGAAGTCATCAAAATCAGCTAGATTCAAATCATACTATATCTACAGAGGCAAAATCACATTCTTGCAAACTCCATTTCAACTTTCAAATTGTTTTGACTAATCCAAATGCCTTTCAGGATATTCCTTAATGCCCCCAGCTATTCAAAGAATGTGAAAAGAAGATGATTAAGCTCCAAAACAGTTCAATAAAATCTAATACCCTTGTGTTTCTATACAACCACCCAAAAGATGCTTCTATATCCTCACATTTTTTTCTGTTTGGGGGCACATAATAATTACTCCCTAAAACAATGAGGCTTTGAAAACAGAGTGCCTATCAGTCTTCAAACTCAAGTCATCCCGTGTTACTTGACACACCCAATTTTTGGAGGTCTCTTGTCAAAGATAACCACCTACTAATAAAATATACTTGAAACCCCTCAAAATTAATAGATAGACATGTGGGAAAAAAAAAAAAGGATGTCCACGCATTTCATACACATTAGAAAATGTCCAGTAGGAAGTGGATGGGTAAATTTGAAATTTGAATTTTTTGTGGTTATGTAACTTAATTAACTACAAATGAAACAAAGCCATAGAATTTATGACACCTTATCTCTTGTTATTGAAGTACAAGTCACCACTTCAATTCAAAATTATGCATCATTTTATTTTATAAAGTCGGGATGTACTAACATTTGAAGTTGGTTCCATCCGTAGACTTCTCTATGACAACTTCATGATACAGAACTTCAAGCCATTATAAGCTGTAGCATTATATATAACCTTAATAAAGCTTTTAAAGTTCCATGACAATGAAATCTGCTCACCTAACATAAATAAATATCAGCATAAGATGCACAAAATAAAAAATGGGACATGTATGTTATCGATAAACATCTCATCAACTTACTGAATGATATGCATACGGTGACTTCCCTTGGCGTTCAAAATGTTTTGCCATAATGCTCCATTCAACTGGTCCCCACTCCTCTTGTTCAAAACAATTGCCAAGTGCAGCTTTATACAACTACCAAAAAGTCAAAATCTCAATTAACTGAATTTCAAACAAAAGTGATTAGCTAACGTAACCCATGTCAAAAAATACGATTTATGTGAATGTTCAAACTAACAGCTTCAGTGTCAGTTAGAAGCTCGGTTCCGGCTGGATAAGATGCATAGAATTGGTCAGCCCTCGAGTATCCAGCTCTGGTTCTGCATCATCCATTAAAATTGATAGAAATAAAATCAAAACCTCGGTATTCTCAACAAAATCATATTGGATCTAAAGGAAAAAGAATATCAAGTTTCAACTAAATTTCAACCCAAAATTTAAATTTAAATTAATTTGTTCATGATATAAAGTTCAATTTTTTTTCAAGTAAAATCCTGAAAGCCATAAATTTTCTTAGGAATTAACAATGGCAGAAAAAATTGTTTCCTGAACGAGAATAATTCGGGTAATTATAAATCTAAACCCGTATAAGTTTCAAAAGAATCATTACCCAGCTACTACTTTATTACAAAAAGATTTAAACCCAGCAAAATGTTCACAGGATAAACTAATAATATAAACTGAGTAAGCTGTATTCCTTTTTTAGAGTAAAAGAGGACCTAATAAACTTACGTGTTATTGGTGTAGGCGTAGCTGATGAGTGTGACGAAACAGTAAAATCCTGCATAAGATACCATTCTTCGGAATTTCTGGATTTTCAGGATTTCATTCCAGCCTTCATATAGCCTCCACATGTTGAAAGAAATACGGAAGAATGATAAACGATTAATTTATAATTCCTCAGAGAAAGAAAAGCAGGATTGATTCAAGCATTTCACCGAACATGTTATGTGCCGATTCAGTATGTCTTTCCGTGTTGTAGCTACGGGCAGAGAAGTAAGCAACAAAGGTTGATTAGTATATAAAAATGTTGTCTCCAATTGAATGGTTGGTAGTATGTATACCGTGAAACGTTAACTGTTTTAGAAGGAAAAGACTTGTATCAAACAACCCCTTATATTGATTGTTTTATCTTTCTTTTTCGAGTAGAAAAATGGGCAAATTTCATTCAAACTTTGACAAAACTTTCAAATCAGTCACTAAAAGTTTAACTTGTCTCGATTAACTAAACTAAACTAAACTTCAATTTAAAAAAAAAAAAAAAAAGGTTGAACCCCAACCTTGAGGGTCCCCCATCGCCCCTACCCTGGAGCATCGTGAGGGAGGTAAATCGCAGGTTATACCTTCAAGGATACAAGGTGGAAGACTGTTTGTACACTTGCACTTACCCAAGAGCCAAATTCATATTTCTCTCTCCTATTTTCAATCTCACAATCTTCCATAAAATAATATTATACGTAAATCAAGATTTTTTCCTTCTTTTTCAACCATTCATTTTTCAAAAAACACTATTCCACCCATTAATTTTTCCACGTAATGGGGGCCAAACAAGTGCTAAATTAGGCCTTGATTGAGTCTATTTTCAATCACACAATCTTTCAATAAAAAAATTTACATGTAAATCCAAAAATTTTTCTAAAAAAATGAAAAAGAGAAAACATAGCCCAAGGATAGTTTGATGAAAATTGATTAAATGTGGTTGAAAATTTTATAAAACGTATAGTTAAAATTAGTTATTAACTTTACTTCAACTTTTCATTATTTCAAATAAGAACCTGATAATAAGTTAATAGGTTAAATGATATATTTAAGGGAAAAATAGGTTTAATCGACAAATTAAAGTTGGTGGAAAATTCATATTTCGAGTATTACAAATAGGCCACTTTCGCTAGAGCCATTCCTAGCAATTCATAACAACTACGTAATACCATTGCACACTGCCAAAGCCGTCACCGCCAGCACACAGCACAAATTATTACTTAGAAAATCACAGCACCACACCCGTCGTGCTCAACAACATTGAGCGAAGCATCGCCTTGCAACAGGGTGATTTGTGGACGAGCAATGTCAGGACGTTGAGCAACTGTAGTCCATTGTGTATCGACTAACGACGTTAAAGGTGCCAACATTGGTTTTGAGATGATTTTTTGGGGGGCTGTTTTCGATGATTTATTCCTCCTATGATCTGCTTAGTCAAATTTTAAGATGGTTGTTGATTGTTTGTTGGTGGTGGTGATGACGCTTGTGGTAGTGGAAGTGTGGGGTGGATAGGGCGTGGGGTGAAGCCGTGGATGTAGGTAAATTAATTTAAATTTATAATAATAATACTTGATTTTTGATAAATAAACCTCATTCCCAATTCTTGTTTAAATACTTGTTTATATATAATTTACTCATTAAAGTTTAATGACCTAGTTGAAATTATATTGAAAACCAATGACTGCAAAATGAGATTTACCATAAAGAAATTAGTTGTTGACTTTAAATGTGTAAGAAATCAAAATTTTACGGGCTCTTTTTATTTTGCTCCTTACCAATATTTGGTAGCATTGTTTTCCCTAACCTTTCGTAAAGTTGGTAATTTCACTGTGTAGTGGTGTAAAAACTTCATCTTGTATTCAATAATTCTATCAATAATAATTCTGTAATTTCGATAAACAAAAACAAATTTCAACTTAAAAAAATTAAAACCCATTTTCCTTGATCAACTGAAATAGACTTAGTTCAAACTTAAAAGGGTATAGATGAAGAAATGTAATGGCGTTTGGAGGCGGGTTTGTGAAGAAGAGTCGAAAGGGCAGTCGCTAAAATTGCTTTTAACTACACACGCCCATTCGAAGCACAAAACCCGTACTATGAAGCCATTTTCTCTGTGAAGGGCTGAAAATTGCAAGGCACCCTGCAGAGTACCTGCAGGTATTTCAGAGCCACGAACGAATTTGTTTCAAGCTCTACCCATTTGCATCCAGCCCTTTTCGTCCGATTCAGATATGAGATTAGAAAAGAAACGTGTGAACTAACCGTGGTGGGGAAAGGAATCCCATGCCGCCGGCGGCAAGTGGTGGTTCAGATACTGTTAGGGGTTAGTAACATTAGATCCATCCCTGTTGAGTATTGCTCAAAACCTAAATGGAACTGAACGAGCAACTTTGAACTTGTATTTATTGTGTGACAAGATAAAGCCCAACAAGAAAACTGGCCTTGCAAAACATATGTAAATTGCAACCATGTCCTCAACCTTTTATTCTTGACGTCCTCTCTCCAATCTTCTAACCTTGTGAATTGTGACCATGGTTTTCCAGCTTGGCCGAAAATATTTTGTTTAGACGTTAACACTTATATGACATGCTACTAAAATTATAAACTTATTTGGAAAAACGAAACCAACGTTTAATGTAAGTTTTCAACATAAGTTGAAATGTTACCATTTTGTTTCTAGGGTAGATATAACAATTTTATCTTTTTTAGTTTTTAATCAAATGTTATCATTTTATTTCTGAAGTAGATATAAAATTTTATCTATTTAGTTTTTAGTCAAATATTATATGCGTATTGCATGAATATTTAACTTACTTTAACATAAACAATTTATTTCATCAAAAGGAAATACCACTCAATAAGTGTTAAATATAGGGAACATGGAAGTCACAAATGAAAGGTTGGAGTGTCACACCTATAAAAGATTGGGGACTTTGGAGGAATTTACTCCAAAAAAAGAAAAGAAAAGAAAGAAGAATTACTTTGGCAGCTAGTGAGTGACTAGTCTTTGCTGATTAACATGTTTCTCCCTCTAATTTGGTGAAGTATTCGCGTACTTCCTATACTTAAATTTAATGTTAATTACATCACTCCTTAAACTCCCTCATGACTTGGTCATTAGACTTTCTCTGCGTTGCTACTTGATCACTAAATTTCATTAAAAAATAAATAAAAATTCTCGATGTCACTCAAGGTCTACACACGATACTCGTTAATCATTTCATTGGTTCTCATAAATTGATAAAAGGAGTTATTGACATGACAAACGAATATCTACATGACATGACAAAGCCATTAACTTCGTCCAACCGAGACCAATTATGTTGTCAAATGCTCATTGAACATTTCATGTTGTTTCTCAATGGCCACACGAATGAGATTTATAACACTCCACAAACTACTTCCTATTATTGGGATTTAATTGGACATAGATTGTAACAAAGCCAACACATCATTTTACATTTATACTCTACTCAAAAGTATAAACAACATGGCGATAATTAATTTCTAACAATATGCATAAACAGCTAACAATACCCACTTCATGAATTGAACTAAAGAAATCCAAATTAATCGTATAGGGGAAAAAACTACCCAATGATAGTTAGGTTTGTGAGATTGTGTCATTTGATTTAAATTTGGAATAGTTTAAACTTCAATAAACATTTTGGTTTGGACATGACATTAAAGTAGGACACAAAACTAGAGTTTTCTTGAACAGATAATGTAGTAGCCATAATCTGCATATGTATATAAGTTTCACCCAGTAACAAACGTAGATATTTTTAGTTAGAGGAATACATTCAAACTTGTAAAAATGTTGTGAGAAATTTTATATTGGACAAAACTCATACCTTGTGTAATTTTTCATCCAGATTTAAAATTTAAAAAAATTTTGATGTCATATCCCATATAAACTTTCTTAATAAAATAGTGTAAATTATATTGAAAAATTTGTTGCACAAAAAATAAATGTACTATAATTGATTTTTTTTTTAAATAAAATACGAGTTAGAGCTTCTTTTAAGGATGCATATTTGACGCACCTATAACTATTTTTGATGTTGGTTTTCGACCATTCGATGTGCTATGATGTAATTCTCAAAACGAGTTTTAAGATGACATAGACGATTTAGAAATTCGACTTGCGTACAATTATCGAATAATTTATAAAGTTAGCATGTTATCAAAATTTTCGAAATACTAGTTTAGAACAGTCTACTTTGAAAAGTCGTAACATTTGCTACGATTAATCGTTTTGTGTACCGTTAACGATGTGAAAAATTAGACTGTGGGCACTTTAAAATGGTATCAAGAATGTAATATTTTGACTTCATTTGACATCTCGTAATGACTTTGAAATTTGAGATAAAAAAACCTTAATGGTTGTATTAAAAAAAAGAAAATACCATTTGTACAGAAAAATGGTTTACCACCTTCTTGACAGATTCTCACATTCGCGTGGGACTCGAGTGAAAAAAAATGATAAAAAATTGCTCCCCCTTCCTACGAGTTTGTTCTGTCAGAGAGGGTGTCAAACCCTCCTTGTACAAATAGCAAGGTTCTAAAAAAAATGCCCAAAAGTTGGGGTGATGTAGCCCATGCCACCCCTTGTGTCTGCCAGTGGTTCCGCCCAAAATGAAAAATTAATGGGATTATACACATTCACCATGTCAAATACATGGGTCTAGACAAATGGGGTGCACCAAGCCCAGTAATTTAGTCATGATCATAATAACTAACCGAACACGTGACATTGTTGCTCTATAATTCGAATCATATTAGTAGATTAAAAGTTCGATCAACACTCGCACAACATCATAAAATTCTAACATGAACACATGTCAACAGTAAAGAAAACCTAAAGTACAAATTTATCGATGAGAACATTTTCGAATTTAAAAGTAAATGGATTCTATCAACAGGGTAGTTTGCAATTACATCCACGCATCCAATTTTTGGGGTATGTTTTGAAATTTTTTAAGCTATTGTGAACCAGTTACACTCAATTTCAAAGTTGTCGTCACCTGTCATCTTTATTATTGTGACGTAATTCACATTTAGTGGGATCAACAAAGATAATAGAATTGCAACGTTTTTCCTCCTCATCTCGACAATCATCCATAACATTACCATTACAAAGTTATCTCCCAACTCATCAAGTCTCGAGAATTGGATGAGTTGACTTACCTATACGACTCTTTAACTCTTTCTAATTAAGGTACAAGACATTTGATCAATTCTAAAATAATAATTTAACGAAAATCTAAAATAAGACTAGGCCAAATATATTTACACCACAATTTTTAATAACTAGACTACATTTAAATTGGATAAAAGGTCATAATCTTTACTGCTTTACACATTATTACATTTATGTCTCTAACTCGCATTTTTATTCTTAAATTTTCCCTCCAAAAATTTCTTTAAAATAGGGTAAAAAAATTCATTTGTCCATTGTATTTTTGAATAAGCGAAACGAATAATTCTACAGAAATGAAATTAAGCCCCTATTTGGTAAGGATTTTAATCTAACTCAAAGTCAATAATTAATTTTTGAGTTATTCTACATTGACAGGTTCAATAACAGATTTTAAAAACAGGATGACATGTGGTATAACATCGTTGGACAATTTAAAAAAACAACATTCATACCGATGTTGACAAACTCAACTCCTATTAAAACCCCTATTTCCAATCCCTGTTTGAGCAGCACAACTTTTAATTTTAACGACATGTCTTATGGGATTCACGATTGTTTAACCGCACATTTCATCAATTTTTATCAAAATCTACTAAAAATCTGATTTTAATCTTCACCAAATAGGGGTTAAATATTTGGCCCTCATTTAAATGTACGTTAATAATATTTTGGGACTAAAATCATGATTAAAGACAAGATTTTCTTATTAATGAAATATTATGATAATAATGTGTTGAAGAAAAAACTTAAGAATATAAGTGTAATAATGAATCAAAATTAATGACATTTAATATAATTAAAATATGGTTTACTTCTGAAAAAATTGTGGTGTGAATATAACCACAATAAGATTAATACCCCATTTGGTATCCTTTTTTTCAAAATGCATTTTTCTCTCTTTTCTTTTCAATCACACATTCTTTATTAAAATAATATTACACGAAAATAAAAAAAATTCCTTATTTTTCAACCACACATTTTCGATCCATTTACTATTCAAAAATGCATTTTTACATAAAAATGGCTCCCAAATACCCCCTAATATGGTCTTGCCAAAAATTAAGCTTACATTTCAAAAGAATTTATAAATGGTTTAATTTATAAATAAATATAATTGTGTAAATTGTAATAGATAAATTGACGGTTCCTGTTAGCTCATTGAAATGTATGATCGAAAATGAAGTTTGCAATATTAAGCCTTTGTTTGAGCCCATTATTTGATGATAATAAATTTTGGAATATTGATTTTTTTTAAAGAATGTGTGATTAAAAAGTAAAGAAAAGTTTTGAATTTACGTGTAAAATATTTTATCGTGTGAATGTGTAGTTGAAAAGGAAATAAAAAAAAAAAGAATTTTGGAAAAGGGCAAACAATGGGGAAATACATGAAAATAACCCAAATAGAAAGACCATTTTTCCAAAATAGCGTTTGGCTAATTTTCATACCCAAAATACCCCTTTATAATATTACATAATAAGTTGATGAAATATAGAAATCTTTCAATTTAGTCCTTAAAAAAATCAAGTACTGCATGAATTTTAATAGACTACCAATTTATTAGATTTATTTGATTTATTAGGTTTATTTGATTTATGTTCGCTCTAAGTAGCACCCCCATATTGGTATCATAGCCATAGAGATCATGGAAATTAAAATAAAGAAAATAGATAATTATTGATGTTTAAAGAAGAAAAAGGTAGTTACATATTTTTAAAACTTATTCATAATAAGTTAAAAATAATGACTTTGATAATAATTAAAGAACTTCCTAAAGAAATAAATGAACAAATATTAGAAAAAATAAAAGAGATCTATACGTATGAAAAAATTATTAATATATATGAAGATGAAGAAAATAATTTATATTATAAAGAAAAATATCAGTACAATTGATAACACACATCAAAAATTGAATAAATTACTTTTAAAATGGATAAAATATAACAAGAAATAAGAAATATAATGTTAATACCAGAAAGAATGAGAATATCAAAAATAGACAATTAACAAAATTAAAATATGAAAGACTAAGACTTGAGAGCAAATATTTCACTATAGTAAAAGAAGAATTAGTAGATCCAGAAATAGTTGAAAGAAGATTTAGAAAAATAATAGATAAAAAAGAAGATAAAAGATGCAAATTAACTTATAAATTAGAAATAAGAA